ATTTTAAAACCAGCATTCTGGAAGATTTTGAGAATTCATTTAAAATATCTTCACTTTTAACACTTTTAGTCAGGTCTTTTTCAATGTGAAGAATAGATAGATTAGTAAACCGATCTTGGAGCATAAAAGTGTATCACACGTCTTAATTCTACGCATAGCTGAAAAATTACGCTCACACGTTGCAGAGCTAATTGGTAAAATTAGTGCTACTTGTAGCGATTTGTATAAATTTGGTATAAATCGCTATTGTATAGGTATATAATATATATATATTATAATATTATAAGAAAAATGTTCTCAATATTTGAAATGTACGATGTATATTTGAAAAAAAATGTTTCTTAACATTTGGCAAACATTTTTGAGGGGGCTTAATGATTATCAGGGGGGCTAAGCTCCCCTCCTCTCGAATATCCGCCAATAGATACATCGGAGATGCGTGTTATTGCGCGCATGTATATGCAGGTATTACTATTTACGTACGCGGCGGTAACGTGTGCGCGTTGTAGAACATCTCGTAGCCGACGAGAGAAGTGTGCGGGGTGGTAGAGTATTGTATACGGTACGCACGCGTAAATCTTCCCGACGAGTTGCGTCCGCGCCGACACCGTCCGCCGCCGCGACGGCCGTTTTCGTTTTGTCAATGGCATCGTTTTTACGTCAATGGGGGCGTACGCGTACGCGCGAAGCGTACACGCACGCGTGTTCGCGTGTTCGCAATGCCAAAAAAAAAAGAACCCGGACTGCGATTGTTTTCTTTTTTTAAAGTTCACTGAGCTGTACCATCTCGTCAGATCATTATAATAATAATAATGCGATATTCGCTCGTACAACAGACATGTTAATGCGCGGAGCCTCGCGTAAAATATTATAGGTACGGCAGACGGTGGAAAAAATCCGGACATGCATGATCAATTATAATAATAATATTATTATGTACGACACTTCGTTTTAAATATGTGTTACCATTATAATATTAGAAGTTCTTTATTCTCCTCCTCCGCTCCACATCACCACCCCACCTCACTCTATTCATCCCAATATGTTTTAATAAATAATGATACGAATACATGTGTAGATGTACGCACAGTACGTATAGGTACGCGTGCGTATAACCGGTCATACCAAATAAGAAGTGAACAACGGCGACGTTGTTGCGTGCATAAAAACGGCGGGTAAACGTCGTGGTAGCCGCCGCCGCTGTAGCCGACCGTCGTTTTCCAGTCGCCGGCCGGCGCCAATCTGTTTTACGTCATTTGGCGGCTGGTGGCGGCATTCACACACACACACATACTAGTACTTACACCGAACAATGAGAACGCCAACGATAATAATCATTTTTATACATCTATCCGGCGTTGGGAGGGAAAAATTATATAAGAAAAAGAAACATTGGTGTTTTAAAAAAAGTACATGAAAAAACGTGTTTTTCACAAGGTTTTTTTGGTTTTCCGTATTACGAACAACACTCGCAAAAATTAAAAAAAACGATCCCGTACTGAATTACACGAAATGTATACAATATACGTGCTGTACGTGCGAATTTTTGCGAGTATAATATATGCTATTCCTTTGCATGCCGCACCGCAGAGGATGGGATTAATATTATTTTTATTGCACGTACACAATTATACTAGTTTTACTACATTTAGGTACAAAGTATACCGTAGTATAGTTATAGTAAAGTGGAATATTGCGGTAAATACGTTATTATATCAACTGGTTTTCGTAAAAACTGTTTTTCTTATGTTATACTATTCGTATCCGAATAAGAGCTGTTCCCGTAAGCTCATCAGTACTGTCATTTCAATGTAAACCGAATTTTTACATATCGAAAAAAGAAAGTTAAATACGAAAATAGGGTTTAGTCTAAAACTCCATATCCTCCGAAAAAAAAAAATTATGATTTCACTACATGTTTTGTTTTAACGTAAAACCATTCAATACAAACCTGAGTTTCAGACCCCATCCCTCAATTTCTAACAATATTTCCACCTAAGTCAAAGACATGGGTTATTTCGATGAAGTACCTGATAATTTATGGAGCCCTCGTATGATCGAGCTAGAAATGAATACGTTGTACGGAAGATAAAAACATATGCTAAAAGTATATTATATTGTCATTAAAACCTAGAATAAAATAAGCATTTAAATCAGTTTGAAACAATTATTTGTTCAAATGTTCCCAAATTATTTACGTATCTAGTTGGGAAAGGATATAGTATATTAGTTGTATGTCAATCAACGATAATAATAAATTAGTTATACTTTTCTCTAAATTCTATTTAAATTAAAAATACTAAATATTATTTTAAATGTTTGTAATAATGTTTTAAGTTATTTTAGTAATTGTTTGTACATTTATATTATAATTTATGAATTACTAATCAGTATATTTATGCAATTCTAAATATTTATAATTATTTTCTTCGTTTTTTGATAATAAAAAAAATTTAGGTGTTATCTATATGAAAATGTATTTAGTTAAAATTATATTTAGTACATTTTAAAGGCATTGTTATTTTTTTAAATTCATATTAAGTTTTGAAATGTTTTTATTATTAAAATATGTATATAAGGTGGAATATTTTTCAAATAATATTCCGCTGAATTTTACATAGTGCATAACGTTTGCTTAATAAATTCCGTAGTCACATTTATTGTTTTGCAGTTGTATTTTCTAATGTAGGCGAGTATAATGACTCTGGACTATAATATACCTATGTAGAGAAGCCACTGTTTCAATTATTTTTCAAGGATGTAGGTAGGAGGGGTTTTTGGTTTGGTAAAGTAGTAATTAGTTGAAAATCAATTAAGTCTTGCTATTCGTATAATACAAGTAATAACTAAACAATAGTGCCTACTAGTAATATCACACCATCTGCAGTAAAAACAATGTATCATTCTAATGGTTTTGTTTAATGATAATTTATATGAGGTTGTGGGTGGATGAGTAAATTGTTGTTTTCTTTACTTAACTTAATTCTACATGATTCCGGTCCTACCTTATATGAAATCAATCAAAATATATAATAATATATGTATTTCTAATGTTAAATTATGCATAATTTAACGTAAATAACTAAGTATTAATTACCATTTAGGTAAGTATTGAATTTGAACAAACAATGTGAGAAGAAAATATATTGTATAAGTCAGTTTTATTCCTTATATAGCACAGAAATAATACTTTATAGGTTATCTTTAAGTCTTTCTAAGGCCTAAGCATTCGTGTTCGGAGAATTTGAAATTTTTAAATTGACAGTACGCAAGTGATATGTGTTAATATTGCGATTTTTAGAAAAAAATTAATTTAAACTTAAATTTTAGTTCTTATTCATATAACTCCTAATTCTTTCTTTCGTGTTTTAAGCAACTCAGAGTGCTTAAATTATTATTTAATATTGTTTCTAAAATAAGCTATTTGATTTAGATAAATTATTAAATAATATTTTGATTAGAATGCATTTAAATTTTAGCATAAATAACAATTAAAACAAGTAATAATCATAATATAAATAACTTTTAAGTTTTTCTAAGACATAACAAAATAAAAATGCAGAAACATTATAGTGAATCGTGGTAAAAACATTTAATTCAAATATCCAAGAAATCATCTCTTCGGTACCATCTCGTTTGAATAGTTACTTTATAGTAATCAGTTGAGGTAGGCAGGTATAATTAAATTAACTTATCTCTGCATAAATTATGTTGTTGAAAAGTTGAACCATTTGTCAACTATGTATTATTGAGATAATTAATTTGAGATTTGTGCAAATACATATTGAAGTATACATGCATTATTAGTTTGTTGGTAGCATATTCTATAAATATGAAATAACTTATTATAAGTAACTATAGGTTTATAATAATTTACTGGTACTCATTTATCATTATTATAATGCAATGCATAAAACATTTTTACCGCACGTTTAATGAAAAAAATAAATATAATTTCCTAACATTTATTTTAATATTATAATTAACTATATCTGTATATTCTGAACTTCCATGTATTTTTTAATGATTATTACTTAATTTAAAATTAATATTCTTTGAAATATAGGTGTCTATATTTAATATTCATTGTTTTCAAATGGTATGATAACGTATAATAGTATGGCTGTACGACCATAGTATTTAAATAGTTAGACCATAATTAAGAAATTCCTTACCCATAAGTCCAAGTTGATAAACAAGTAACGTTTTATTGATAAATATGATTCATATTTGTATTTAAATAGGTACGTTACAATTCGTTTAAAGTATTTATACATGTGTCATTTAAAGCCATTATTTTTTGTTAAAACATGTAATATATATTATTAATTAGGTAGTGGATTATATTCCGAATGATTAAAAAGATAAACATCACTAATGTATTGTATAAAACCTACCCATTTAAAGATATGATAACTTTTATTATATATTTATTCATACGTAATAAATGGTCAATTGACATTTGACCTTTAGAAATCATTAAACTTTTTATTCATTTACTTTCATTTAATTAAATGATTCTATTGCCAGACGTTTAAGCACTTTTGTATAGAAATATCTATGACTAATTTATCTACATTATGGGTTAGTGTTTTTTAAAATATTCAGCTTTTGAAACGAATATGATAATTTCGTATTATATCTCATTATTATTTATGAATTGTACATATAAGTAAAATATATTTGGCAAACTAGATTCTACAACGATTTAAAAAAATAAATAGTAAAACATACGTTTGAACATCAAAGTACTCAAATACGTAGAAAACGTACTATATAATACAACCGTTATGTTAGTACAAGTTGTGATTTATACATACTATAGTAACGCAATTATATAAAAATATTAAGTGCATGCATTGCGTATTTGTCGTTGGTATATATATGCGCCCAACACAGGTATTCGCAAACATAACACCACTCAACGGAATTATCATTTTAACAATTCGATTACATTGACGTTATTTTTTTATTCATATTTGGTGTTTGTTATTTTTCAGAATGTCAGTTCGGCAAACAGCTCAAAGAAATCGGATCTACTTGGTACGCGGACTTGGGACCGCCTTTCGGTGTTATGTACTGCATAAAATGCGAATGCGTCCAGGTAAGGACCACATATGGAATAATAATAGTACATACCTACCTACCTATGTATATATGTATATATATTTGTATTATATTCACGCCGGAATAAACCTCTATGTATGAAAATGATCACGTTTTTGTACACGGATTTTTTATTTATTATTATTAGTTTTTTTTTCTCTCTACTCGAAGGTATTTATTATTACTATCGTCCTCATTACATTATAAAAAATATATATAGGTGTCGCGTTCATAATGATGTACCGGTGCGGAATACATAATGTGCAGAATATTATGTACTATATACATATATTTAAAACGATTATAATAGTGTGTCGACGTCATCGTCTTCTCTGCGTCGCGCGAGCGTATTCGTGTTTGTGCGTGCTGTAAATATTACAAATTATTATATTATTATTATTATAGTTACAATGTACATTGTTTTCGAGCGTGCGTGATGGAATGAGGTTGTGTGATGTGTGCGCGCGAATTCGGCCAAAACCGACGGCGGCGGCGGCGGCGGCGGCGGCGGCTCGCAAACGCTTTACGGGATGTCCGTCGGCAGCCGGGGACCTGTTCGGCAAAAATTATTCTAATTATGCGCGCGTTTGCGCTCGTCGGCGTGACGCGGCCGCCGCGTCTGCCGCGTCTTCGTCGCCGACAACTATACGTTCAATTGTGTGTCGCGTGCGTCCCCCAAACAATCGACGGGATCAGATTCACGCATTCCACAATGCGCGCGCGAACGGCGACGGCAGCGGAGAACAATCGGCCAACGCGCCGCCGTTATAGAAAGCCGATGTTCGTGAATAGCGATGATAGGATGAAAAAAAAAATAAATAAATAAATAAATAAATAGGAGATATATGTATTATTACACGCGTCGTCGTGACTGTCACATGCGCGTGTGTATAAAATATATTTACGGTATAAAACGATACGGAAAAAATATCCGTTTGAAAAAAAAATCTGCCGCTGTCGCCGTAGTACGTATATATATACGTCGTGTGTACACTGAAGAGCGGATGTGTTTCGACAAACACTAACGACTTATGCGCGTGCTCCAGGTATTATTTTATTATGTATACAGAGTGATCTTTTCTTGCGTTAAACACTCTTTTTTTCGGTCGATTGACATTTTTTTTTTTCGTTTTAATGATAATCATCCATAGATTCATTATCATTTTCATATGGTTTCAAGTCTTTGTTATAATGTGATAACGTTTATGAAAACATTTCACAATTTTTTTACAAATCTCTTACGAATTTTTAATTCCTTTTACGGAGAGAAATAATTTTATGAACATTTAAATACTTAAAAATGTGTTAAAAGTATATGTATATACGAATATTAAATATAAGAGGAGTAGTGTGGTCAAAGGATTGCTCAGAATTCACTTATTACTGTTCATCAAGACATCGAATAATTTAAAAAAATTTACTACTGGTTTGATATTCGATTTTTTTTTTGATTTCTCTGAAATTTTATTATTTTTAGTAGTACAGTAGTACAATAGTAGTATTTTAACAGATGATATTTTTATTTGTATTCTCCTGTTTAAAAAAAGTAAAGGAACAATACATTTTGCAAAAATTTGGTTTGGTATTACATTAAATATTTTTTTTTTAAATAAATGCATTCATTGGTTAAGAAATCAATGTTTGAGTTAAGAAAATCACTCTGTATTTATTATGATTAGTTGTATAGACATGTAGCAAACATATATACGCGGGCTACTGTTTATGAACTCATTGATTTTAGTTAATTTCTTCGACTCGTATACATAAGCTACAATGCTGCATGATATGTCGTTGACGACCGTTACAATGATAATTTCGCCATTTAAAGAAAAAACCAAGCTCACGACACGCATACCGCGTTTTCTGCTTAATCGATGTGTGTTTTTGCGTTCTGAATGTCCATGTAATTGCTGTATATACATATACATTTAGTACATTTAAAATCGTATTTAAAACTTAAAATAATCTACAAATAGCGTACAATTTATAATTATAAGAAATTGTGGACTATTATAGGGTGTACATTTCTATTTCTATTTTTAAAAAAAAAATTGGACAAACAATTTGAGGTTAACTCAAAAAAGAGATCTTCATATTTTTTTAAAATAATTTTTATGTCCCATAGTTAAACATTAAATAATTTATAATTAGTGTAAAATATTAATAAAAAAAAACATTTGTATGAATTGTTTTTATGCTTTGAGTTAGAAAACAATTGGTCAAAATATTCTTATTTTTTTTGGATTTATGTTGATTGTTCATGATTTGCTTTATAATCTAATGTGTTGTTTTATTTGTGTGATGAACTGATAACGTTTACATATTTCAATAATCCTAGAAACTGCCGGTTGTAAGAATCGCCATTATATCTTAACTCTTCCAAGTACGATTTTGTATAGAGTGTTTATAAAATCACAAAATTATTTTAATGCTTCTTCTTTAACAGTACAATTATATAATTATTGAAATATTTTTTTAACTATACATTCAACATCAATAGGTAAGATATCAGTACTTGTTTGCATTTTTTTATGTAAAAAGTGAGCTGCGCAAACAATTCCGTATTATTTTTTTTTAAATTATTGTTTAAAACATTTCTTGTTATTTGCGTTGCAGCACCTCCAGAATTGTTATTACAACTATTCACAAACAACAAAATAATTTTATCATATCATTTATATTTTTTAGAATTACCATTACATAAAATGACAATATATCCACAGTTTCTCCTTTTAAATTTGTGAATTCTAGCACTTTAATTTAAACTCCCATTTAAAGATCAAATTATTGAAAATATTGGGTACAAATTTCATATTTTTATAATTTAAATGTCAATCGTAACTGTCACAAATTTATTATTTGATCAATTGCGAGAGGGGCCAATACATTTAGAATAATTGATTTATAGTTTTTACGTGTACAAGAAAACTTTTTTTCGTGCAATTTTTGTATACAGTTGTAATACAATCCATTAATCTAAAATAATAATTATACATTATTGTGTGAATTGCAAACATTCCCTCTACTACTGCAAATTTCAATCCCTAACTCGTCAAACCAGATGGCTCTAGTTTAATGAAATATGATGTTACATTGTCATTTTTCAAAAAATTATATAAAGCCAACAAATGATTTTTCATTTCCATATGTTATTTTATAACTGAACGACCTCTGTGTTCTATAGAAAATACTGTTCCGTGTAATGTAAAAAACACTTTACCAACTTCTTCACTTTTTCTAAGGAAAGACTGTAAAGGTTTGATTATCAAAAAACAAACTTTATCAAATTATTTATATTTATATGTTGCAAAACGTCCTTCATCCGTTGGATAACTGCCATCATCTGATGAAAACACCGTCCTTTGTATCCTGGATACACACATTCTTCTCCACTACCCATGGTTCGGGCCAAGACAATGTTACGGTTGCAGTTATATATTTATTTAATTTGTTAATAATACTGGCCAATAAAAAAATATTTTTTATAGAGCGTCGTCGTTGTCTTTTCGTGGTGTATACGAACGATATAACTTCTCAATTTCCTTTTTTGGCGTCTCTAACAGTACCATTATCCTAGTGTAACTCTACTTATTTTTGACGGTACGTTCTGGGGAAACATCGCAAAGACACATAATTTTGGATAATATATATAAATGCATTTTATTATTATTTGTTGTATAGATATTCATAAATATTATTATTTAGGGGAAATGGAATTACTAATGGAATATTAACCTGTATCGGCAATACAGTGAATATGGATCTCCTTTTTGGCATTGAAAATATATATATACAGTGGCGTATCCAGGGGGGTTAGGGGGTTATACCCCTCCCCGAAAATGTTTAGTGTATGTATATTGTTTATTGATTATAATAAAAACACACAAAATTCAAAAAAAATTTAATGTTCCATTTTTTATAACCCCCCCCCCCCCCC